TCACCCCTCATTTCACCCCCTTAGAGGGAAAATTTCGAAAAATTGCTTCTTAGTGCTAAATTACCTTATATAAGGAACGTCTGCGAACAATTTTATACTTCTAAAACCGATTTTAACAAATTTTTGTACATATTTTCATCCCTTATTTCTTAAGGGATGAATGCCCAAAATTCGCTTCTGAGTATAACTTTCATCACTTGATGAACCTCTGTGCAAATTTTCATACTTCTAGGACAGATTTTTTTTCAGAACGTTCACCCTTCATTTCACCCCCTTAGAGGGAAAATTTCCTAAAATTGCCTCTTAGTGCTAAATTAAGTTACATAAGGAACGTCTACGCAGAATTTCATACTTCTAAAACCGATTTTGACAAATTTTTATACCAATTTTCATCCCTTATTTCTTAGGGGATGAATGTCCAAAATTCGTTTCTGAGTACTCACTTTCGTCGCTTAATTAACAATTTCCAAATTTCAAACTCCTCGGACTAATTTTAAAAAAATATGCAAAATTTCACCCCCAGTTTCACCCCTTAGTAGAAGAATTTCCTAAAATCGCTTTGTATAATCGAACTGTTAAGTTACGCTACTTAAGGCACCTCTGTGCAAAATTTCGTAGTCCTAGGACATGCTTTTTTTGTATACAAAAGTACCCCCCATATCACCCCCTTAACGAGCGAATTTCCAAAAATTGCCCCTTAGTGTTCAATTACGTCAGTCAAGGAGCACTCGTGAAAAATGTCATACTCTTAAACCAGATTTTAACAAATTTTTATGCAGCTTTTCATCCCTAATTTCACCACCCCCTTAGCGGTCGAATTTTCAAAAAATCCCAATTAGTGCTCATTTACATCACTTAAGGAACCTATGTGCCAAATTTTATTTATTACTATATAGATAACCTTTACCCTTATTTTCAGCTAATAAATATTAAGAGACAAATAATAAAAATAAAATCTAAATTATAAATTTCATGGCTATAAATAGCATATATATGCATCTAGAAATTCTGACTTTCAAACATCCACTGCGACTAGTATTTTCATATCCAATTGTCTAGTATTAAATTCCGAATATACATTTTCCCTGGGTTTGACCGGGAATTTGCTTATAAATGTGAACAACCGGCTACGTGGCTTCACATCGCGTGGCCGTGGTGTGGCTCCAAATTCGTTCGTTTTAAAAATATTATTAGATTTGGCTATAGGCGCCCTCTGTGTCATTAATAGGGAACTGTCTCATCGAAAACATGCTGTTCCGTAAGCAATGGCCATCTGGATTACGTGTTATCTGTGTTATAACCTATAATTTGGCAAGACTTTGACAAGCGTCAAAAATCTAAAGGCGAGTTCATACTGGTTCATACGCATCGGCGTCCGTTTGTCGTTCATCGTTCCGTCAAACCAATAAAATTGAAATACGTCTGTCATTTTTTAAATAAACCAATAAAACTGGTTAAAAACAACAAGAGACGACGTATGACGGATTTATATTTAAACCCATCCATAGTTAACTTAAAAATTATTTGAAACTTTTTTTAGTAAAATAAATAGATTGGTATGGGACGTCATCTGCTTTTCTTCTGTCATCGTCTGTCGAAATCTTACCTGAGAAAAAAAAACAGAGTATATTAGTTCCGAATTCTTGACACTCGCACAGATTGACGTGAAATTTTAACAGTAAATAGAGATATATGTAAGAAACAAAAGTTACATAGTAGCTTTCTGTGCTTTCACCCTGGGGGTGAGTGCCACCCCTTCTCGAGGGTGAAAAATAAATCACCCATTTTAATGCAAAAATCAACAAAAGGATCTAAGAAAAAAATGTTCTATAATATTTTTTCAGAAAATTAATATTTTCCGATTTATTTAGGCTTGAAAATATTGATTTTTCATCTAAGAACTGCATATTTTTCTGCCATTTTTTATAAATAACCCGAAAACCGTGCGTTTTATCGCAAAACTCATATAAAGCAAAAATGAAGCTTTTGGAATAACTGGGCCCGTATTCTGTAACTTCGAAAACGCTAAGCGCTTTTAGACGCTCAGCGTATATGACATTAATTTTCGCTGAGCGCGCACTTAATTAACGATTTCGGTATTCTCGTCTGACGCGCTTAACGTCTTTTCTGATTGCGCTGAGCGCTTTGAAAACGGTTGCCTTAAAGGATCGTTTTGCTTGTCGAACTGTCACTGAAAATCGAAAAAATTGTGATTCTGTGCGTTATCTTGCTCTTTAGTGAAAATTACTACTTCTTCTATAAATTCCTCAATAGGTAATTCATAATTTACGACTTGGCAGCTAGAGTAAACGCCACGAATGTTTGGGAGTGATTCATCCCTTGATGAAGTTAGAATCGACACGCGCGCTATCATTTTTACATTAAAAACGTAAATTTTTACCGCAGACGTAGGTTTTTAAAGGCCCGGTCTAATCATCTGCCTGCGCTCCTCCTACTTATTCTAAAATGTGAGCGTGATTGACAAAGACGATACTATATCGCGTTTCTTTGATTGATTCGTTTTTGTTCGTTAGTCCATTGGTGTGCTTGCAGTGCGACCAATGGGGCATTCCATTTTATATTTATAACCAAATATATGTTTTGACAAGACTTTGACAGTTAAAACAACAAATTACAACAGATTATATATTGGTTATTATATGACTTGAAAGACCACGGCACTGGAATTAAGTTTTATGTGACCTTGAACAGATTAGTTCACATGGTAGCGACCGATGAATCACTCCCAAACATTCGTGACGTTTACTATATAAATATTGTTCAAAACATCGAAAATGCTGAGAAGCGACTTCAACACTTCCCTCGTATAATAAGAATAATGACATATCCATAAAAAATAGCTTGACATAACTCAACAATAGGTTATGAAATTCACGTAACATTGACATTTTTCATTGTAACATCCGTCAGTTATCGACTTTTGACTATTACCTACATTAGAAATTGTGATATTGCCAATATGTGCTCAACGCGTATCTAGAACACGATTCGCATGGCAACGAGAATACCAAAATTGACTGCCTTGCGTTTCCTGATCGAACACTTGCGCTCACCGCTTTGAAAGCGTAACGTTTTTATGTCAAAGTTACAGAATACGGGCCCTGATCGATTAATTTTTTGTTGATTACCGTAAATGTAATAATAGCCGAGTTATCACTCTGTAAAGGTGATTTTTTATTTTTCGACAACTAAATTGCAACCTTTTACCGTAAAATAATGGCGAAAGAACACATTTTTCGAAGAAAATGAATATGACCGTTTTTAAAGTGCTTGAAAAGACCTTTTAAATGTTTTTTTAGAAGGTCTTTTCAAGTTCGTAGCTCAAAAACTAGCGGAGTTATGATAGAAATAAAATGGTCACCTCATTTTTTTTCAAAAAATGTGTTCTTTTCCCATTATTTTACGGTAAAATGTTGCAATTTAGTTATTTTTCACCCCCGTGATGGGGTGGTACTCATCCCCAGGGTGTAAGCACACATCGCTACTATGTCACTTTTGTTTCTTACATATATCTCTATTCACTGTTCAAATTTCACGTCAATCGGTGTAGGTGATCAGAATTCGGACCCTACACCCCTCGCTTACTGACCTATAAGGCAAAATAATAAAATTGCATTTTTCTATCTTTAATAGGACTCTCTTTTAAAAGTTATGATAATTCAAATATTGCACTCATGTTGCTATTCTTTTTGGTCTACAAATTCATATTATTCTATTTCCAAATACTCCCTATTTACAAATATAAAGTTGATAATGGTTTCTCCAAAAAATCCTATATGGGTATTTCGCCACTGCAAGAAAATCTAAAAAAATAGTAATTTTTTGTAAAAAAATAACGCTTCTGCGTTAATCCCAAAAGGAAACTACTTGTCAGAAGTTAGGTTTACAAATATACAAATTTGTCTAACGAACAAAAAAATGCTTAACGTTTCGGAAGGTTTATCTCTTTCCGTCGTCGGAAGCAAAAAAATACAAAGAATAAAAAAACTATTTAAAATATTTAAATTCGACTATCCGAGAACACTTTAGTTTTTTATAACAGAACGTCTACAAAAACCGTTGACGTTCTGTTAAAATGACATTATATCAAGTTAAACTTCAAAATTAACAATTACTACCTGATAACAATTACTTAATAAGGTAAAACCAAAAATCCCCAAACTTTCTGTATGATTATTTTAATTTTTACGTATGATATGTTTATTTATGTTATGTTCTTTAAAATCAAAGAAGCGATTGTCATACATTACTAACATCTACAGATGCATGAGCAATACATTTATTTTTATTATATTGTATTTAAAAAGCCTCTTTTATTTTTCTTTTAGAGGTTATCGCTTCTTTCATTATAATTTTGACGTTATTAAAATTTATTCTGTGCCCTGTGTCCCATGAATGCCGACAAATCTTAGATTTGTGAAAATCTGCCTTTCTTAAATAATAATCTTTATGTTCTTTAATTGGAATATTTCCTTAAATCCTAGACCCTTGTCTAGATGTTTCGCCATTATAAAATTTATCGCATTCACATGGTATTTAGTATATTACATTTTTTGTTTGTTGTTCTGTATTCATTGGTTTAGTATGTGATAAAATGGATCTAAGTGTATTTTGTGTTTTGAAAGATGTTCGTATGTTATATTGTTTTCCTATCATTCTTATTTTTTCCGAAACGCCTCGTATGTATGGAATTGTAAGTTGTATATATTGTGTATTGTTATCATTGTGTCTATGATTTGGGGTTTGTATTTTTTTTTTTGTTGATAGTGGTATCTCGGAAACAAAACGTCAGATTCGAAATTACTTTAAAATATCTTTTCAAATAAATCCAGGAAACATTAAAAACCTTTCTCTAAATTTCCGAGATCCCAATGGTCACCTTTAAATTCGAAACACCCCGTATACTATATATACAATCATTTATTTAACTTAATTGATGTTAAGGATGACGCAAATATTATCTAGTTGATCCATTAAATAATACACAGCTAGTAAGTGAATGAGTATTACCAGATATACATGTGATAAACCTACCAAATTATAAATTATACTTAATTTTCAGACAATGTATATTACAGTAATCTGTCTGCGATTGATTTATACAGTTAGTTAGTTATATAAAAAAACTGGAAAATTTTTTTCGAATCTGAAAATTGGATTTTATTTTTGGGATCAGCCTTGGGATTATACCTAACTATGAATTGGCTGGGTCAACAACGATTCGCGCAATAGTATATTCGCTACTAGTGCGGTAGAGTTATTTTCATATCAATCCGTTGTATTATTATATTATTAGGTCGTGGTCGTAACAATAACAAATTATGGTAAGTGACAGATAAACAGATAAGAAGTTTAATTAACCACATTAATGGATTTATGTCTTTTTTTTATATCGTTAATTTAAATTTATGTATAAAGTTTTATTTTAGTGTTTTCTATACTAACAGGCAAAAATGTAAAATTTGATATTTACTTTTATTATGTAAGATTGAAAGGCTCTTGCCAATTTGTATTGCAATTATATTTGCTAATATTTCTAGATGGCTACAAAGCGTAGAAAATTTTTAATTACTTTTGTTATTATTAGTTATTTATATTATATACTTATTTTTTTAATATATAAAAATATCTCATCGTATGATTGGGTCTCCTTGATAAAGCAAAAATCATTTTTATCTAGAAGAATTTCTCTCTTAGAAATTCTTTATATGTATAGAAGCTTTTTTGATATAAACTATTTTAATTATTTTGGTATTTCCTGTGATACCGGTAATAACAATTTTAAATCTTACATTAAATTATAAGGAAGAAAGAAACCAAATTATAAATAAATTATAGTTTATCTATGTACAGCGTGGCCCATCGAAAACGTTCCGCAAGGCATAACGGCCAGGATAATTTTTTTTCAGAAAATTCAAAAACACGTCAATTTTGTTTGTGAGGGGGACAACTTTTGCCCCAAAAATTATTGCAAAATCTTCAACCCTCTAAGCGGGGGTGTCATCCCCCGATTTTTTTCAAATGGGAAGGGGGGTCAAGTGGTACCGCAATGAAAAGGGCTTTCTATTCTCTATACTTTCCTGCTTCGTTTTTGAAGATCGGTCGAGTCGTTGGGAAAATATGAAGGATTGAAATTTGAAAAGTTTTTTAAACATTTATCAGAGTAAATGATAAGGATAAATTCCTTCGACCAATTTGCTGTTTTTTCTTATTATTTCTAGATGTTTGCAATCGGGTTGCGCAGATATTCAATGAACGCCATCCTGACAAACACCTTTATGGCAAAATTGTTCGCCAGTTAGTAGTAAAATTTCGCGAAACTGGTTCCGTTATGAATAAAAAGAGGCAGAGGAAAAATCCTGTAGTAAATGAAGCTATGGAGGTATTCGTATTGGGCCAAGTTGCCATGGACAGTATTCTGAGTACAAGAAAATTAGCCAATGAGACCGGCGGGAATCGTACAAGTTTCCAAAGGATATTAAAAAACACAAGTTCCACCCGTACAAAATTCAGTTGGTACAAGAACTCAACGAAGACGATTTTGATCGTTGCTTGCAATTTTGTGAAGCTATGAGTGAACGAGTGGCGAATGATAATAATTTCCTATTTAATGTGTGTTTTTCAGATGAGTGTACTTTCTTTTTGAACGGTGTAGTTAATCGGCACAACTATCGGTACTGGGCTGAGGACAACCCCAGGGTTTTTCAGGAGGTGCACACACAAAACCCTCAGAAATTGAACGTGTGGGCTGGTATTTTTGGAAATTCTATTGTAGGTCAGTTTAACGATATTGAGAAGAACTTCAACGTACAAGTCACAGAACAGCTATCTAGCAACTACCGCACCTGATCGTTCAACGTTGTGGCAAGTGAAAAAATGCGTAAACATCTAGAAATAATAAGAAAAAACAGCAAATTGGTCGAATTTATTCTTAATTATCATTTACTCTGATAAATGCTTAAATAAATTTTTCAAATTTCAATCCTTGATATTTTCTCAATGACTCGATTTTCAAAAACGAAGCGGGGAAATATAGAGAATAGAAAGCTCTTTTCATTGCGGCGCCACTTGACCCCCCTTTCCATTTGAAAAAAGTTGGGGGATGACACCCCCGCTTAGAGGGTTGAATATTTTGCAATCGTTTTTGGGGCAAAAGTTGTCCCCCTCACAAACAAAATTGACGTGTTTGTGGATTTTTTGAAAAAATAAATACCCTGGTCGTTATGCCTTGCGGAACGTTTTCGATGGGCCACCCTGTATATACCGGGTACGTTTCAAAAGTGGCTCATCCTTATAACTTTTTTATTTTTTCAGATAAAAAAACAGATTTGGCATATTAGTATATGACATAAATTAGGATTGATTGACGTATTCAATTGCTTTTGGTCACTTCCTGCTTCACCGGAAATGACTACAACTATTGATTTTTAAATGGAATCTTCGATATATTTTTACTTTATTCAATAGAAAATGACACACTGAATCGGATGACATATCATATGTCAATTTTTTACATATTCGCTCAAAAACTAATTGTATTTTAAATTTCAATTTAGAATGCCATGGCTATGTTAAAAACACTAATTTTTAATAAAGGAGCCTTGAAAAAATATATTTGATCGTCTAACGTTTGTTGTGTCTTGTCCTGGCCGGTTAAAAGATTCCCAAATCGTATTTTTAATCATATCTCAATTTTTTCAAAACACGACCGCCCGTTCCGTCCGTTCCGTCCGTTCCGTCCGTTCCCATAAGCACCGATTACGATGACACCGAAGACAATACTCAAAACGTTATTAATAACCGACCGGACCATCAAAGTAAAGAAAACGCTAATAAATCGCCATTGCACTACCTTATTTTTCAGTTTTTTTTTGTGTTGTGCGTTATATTTCAATGAGACATATGAAGGTTATAACATATTTTTTTCGCTCCGTGGCACCCTGGCACTACCTCAGCAGTCGCTGCTGTTTATACCTATGTAAAAAATAACGAGAATTTCGGAAAAATTACAAAATTGGGGAGTTTTTCTATTTTTTTGGAAAATATGGTCAACTTTTCGTCACTGTACCTTCTATCCAAGATGGCGACTCGAGCGGTCCCACCCCAAGGTCGAAAACTTGGATTTTTTGTCAAGACCCAAACCTTAATAACATATAAAAAAATTACTACTACACCACCTTTTGTATGGCAAAACACCCCACTGACTGGACTAGTGGCTCAGTAGCATATTTTGAAAGAACATTTTTTTACGAATAAATTGGTACCACACACTTGGTATTTCGAACCAAATTGATTTAAATTGATTTATGTTGTTGCACGTTACAGTTTTACCCTAGAGCAGTTATGACATTTACCATGTTGAAATTGCAAAAATCTTTAGAAAGCTGCGACTATTGAAAATAGTTAGCATTAGTATCCCTTATTAACATACCAGAAGTCCCCGTTTGTCCGGTATGTGCGTCATCAAAAAAAAATCGGCCGCCATCTTGAATTTTTGTACTTTTTGAAAAAAAATGCAAATAACTCGAAAACCGTGCGTTATAGCGAAAAACTTCAAGAGGTAAAAATTAAAGAGAATAAAAAACTCTACCATTTATCTAGAATCAATAAAAAATAGTTTATTATCATAACGCAGTGACGTACAAAAATTTTTTGAAAATCGAGCAATTTTTAAAACTGATCACAATGCAAATTACTAATTTTTAAGCTTATTAACAAATAACATGGATATTTAGCATCAATTCAACTAAAATACAATCCTTGTGACGTTTCCAAGAAATATTTATTGGTGGTTTAATAATATTTCAAAATTAACAAAAATTGTAAAAGTGTATCCTTTACTAAATACATGTGTACTAATAATGTGCGAAAGATGCCTCCACCTTGTTCCGATCGGGCTATTTGCACTTAAACCAAGGTCTTTTTGTTGCCATTTTGTAAACAACTTGTTTTTAAAAATACAGTGACAGTTTGAAAAATTAGACTGCAGATACTGATTTGTTAGTTTTATTACTGCATTATCGGACAAAAAATTCTGTTTTTATGCTTCGGCCTGGAAAATCGTCCAAACCTCATAGACCTCTTATTTGCACATGCTATATGAGGGTGTGATACAACCTCGTGCTTATTTAAAAAAGGTAAATTGGCGACTCTCGAAACGTTGCAAAAAGATCCTCATCTGCGACAAATTACATCCATTTTTTTAGATCCTGCAGCACAAAAATCTGAGCTAGTCGAAGCTGGAAATACATTCTTATTTTCATTATATGGTCGACATAGGCTAGCAAAAGATTTAGATCAGTTGAGGTATTATAAATATAAAACCCTTACATCTCGTCAGGTACTTAGTAAAAATTTTGATTTAGCTACCTTACCTCCAACAACTAACGCAGCTGAAAATCATTATTATATATCATTTACAAATGCAGTATTGGCTAAATAACGGAAAAGAGGCAACAGAATGGGGATGGACTAAAAAAACGGATACCTTTGTTCTAAAAACAACGTCAAACGCAGTGGCATCAGAATTTGTATTGAAAATGATTTACTGTAATTGCAAATCTGGATGTAATAAACTATGTACATGTTTAAAATCCAATATGCCCTGTTCAAGCTTGTGTGGTAACTGTAATGGTATTTCTTGCGACAACAAAGAAATCTCGGTCGATGAAGAACAAATCGAATAAAATTGTAAACTTCATTTTTTTTTCTAGAGATGACAGTTTGAAAAGTTAGGTTACAAGTTGGTAACACATTGTTATTAAAATGGTCATATTTGAATTATTGTTATTCGATATGTAGGGGTATATTTATAATGTATTTATCATAATGAAAAAGTGTTAAGATCGTAGATGATATTTATGTCAAAAAGACATTCGCAAGTACTTTAGATTTTATTTTTTTCTTCCAACCTGTAGCCTAATTTTTCAAACTCTCACTGTATGTATTTTTAAAAACAAGTTGTTTACAAAATGGTAACAAAGAGACCTTGGTTTAAGTGCAAATAGCTCCGCCCGGGACAAGGTAGAGGCTGCTTTCGTACATTATTAGTACACATGTATTTAGTAAAGAATAGCTTTTACAATTTTTGTTAATTTTGAAATATTATTAAACCACCAATAAATATTTCTTGAAAATGTAACAAGGATTCTATTTTAGTTGAATGGATGCTAAATATCCATGTTATTTGTTAATAAGCTTAAAAGTTTAGTAATTTGCATTTCGGTGATTCCTTCTAAAAATTGCTCGATTTTCAAAAATTTTTTGTACATCACTGCGTTAGGATAATAAACTTATTTTTTATTGATTCTGGTAGAGTTTTTTATTCTCTTTAATTTTTATCTCTTGGAGTTTTTCGCTATAACGCACGGTTTTCGAGTTATTAACATTTTTTCCCAAAAAGTACCAAAATTCAAGATGGCGGCCGATTTTTTTTGATGACGCACACACCCGACCAATGGGGACTTTTAGTATGTTAATAAGGGTTACTAATGCTAACTATTTTCAATGGTCGCACCTTTCTAAACATTTTTGCAAATTCAAAATTATTTGCACTGGCCTATTTCAAATAAATCATATTCGAAAATGTCAAAAGTTGATATATGATAAGTCATTCTATTCAAAGTGTCATTTTCTTCATTTTATCGAATAAATTAAAAAATTACCGGGGTGTCATTTAAAATTCAAAAGTTGTAGTCATTTCCGGTGAAACAGGAAGTGACCGAAACAATTGAATACGTCAATCAATCCTAATTTATGTTATATACTAACGTAACAAATCTCGTTTATTTATCTGAGAAAATACAAAAGTTATAGAGAGGGAGACTTTTGAGACGCACCTTTTAATCTTAAATAATGCAGGGTGTTCAAAATTCTACGCCAAACTTTCTAAAATATAAAATAATCTTTCTTTGTCTTTTTTTAAATGGAACACCCTGTATATTATTTATTCACTAGATGAAGAGTTAAAAAATGAACATTTTATGTATTTAGAGTATTTCAAACAATTAAAAATTTTGATATATTATGTAGGTACTTTAATATCAAAATTTTTAATAGTTTTGCAGATATACGCAGTATTATTCCATATATATGGCTCTTTCTATGGTAAAATACGAGAGAAAAATCATTGGGTGGCTTTATAAAACACTAAATCACTTTGATAAAAATTTACTGTGGAAAATGCCATATGAAATATAAAACCGCGAATATCTGCAAAACCGTTAAAAATTTTGAAAGACTCTAAATACAAAAAATGTTTATTTTTAAATTCTCCATCTATTGAAAAAATAATATACAGGGTGTTCCGTTTAAAAAAAAAAACGAAGAAAACTTATTTTATATTTTAGAAAGTTTGGCGTAGAATTTTGAACATCCTGTATGATTTCAGATTTACGATTACCATATTTATAGCAAAGTAAGAACAAACCATCGAAAGTAAATACCTAATATAGTTTTGATTTCAAGACAATTCTTGTATTTAAAAAAAATTAAGAAAGGCTGAAAAATATATATATTTTTATTTATTTATGAATATCTTTGAAACTATTACTCATATCTTAGGATCATGTAAAGTGATCTGAAAGAAAACAAAAAATGCAATAATATACGGGGTGTTCCATTTAAAAAAAATCACCCCGATCCACTCACACTTTTTTGAGCCACCCTATGGAAGTTAAAATATTTTCTTTTTTAATTTTTTTATTCTAGGATCTACAGGTGCCCGACGCACTATTGCCGGACCCTGTATAGACCACATTATTAAATTAAAATCATTGCTCAAAGTACTGCCAATGACATTAAAATGTCACTGGTCAAAAATTATTATATTAAATCAGTACACGATTCCATCAAAAAATATGAAAAAAAGCCGATAAACATGAGTGCCGAAAAGCAGATTTTCAAAGTGACAAGAGTTAAATCTTTTTTAAAAAAATCAGTATAATAAATTTTAATAATTTTAATAATAAAATAGATTAAATAAATAATTTATTAATTCAAGAATATCGATATCGAGAAAATATCAAGAGACAACTTTTAATCAACTTAAACTAATTACTTTAAACGGCCTACACAAATTTCCTAACAAGAGATAAAAAGTCCGTGAGATTTTTTTAGAAAAATATTGCAATGATAACCCATATGCACGTCCCTTTTTTAGTACTGAAATATATTTCAGTACTAAAAGAAGTACAGAAAAAAGTACAGAACTATATTACAAAAAAAGTACAGAAATATATTACTATTATTTATTATTATTAATATTTTATTTTTAGTACTATAATTTATAGTAACTTTTTTTACCCTCAAAATTTCATTCAAATCGCTAATTGCTAAGAAAATTATAATAAATCGAAAAAAAAATCAATACTTAAACCCCCTGTAGCTACAAAATAAAACAGAATGTATAACAATGTTGAAAAAATGTACAACAATTAAAAATACCAATTAGTCGATTACTTAAACTTATTTATTTTTTTATGAACTAAGCCAGCAACTATTTCTGTCCGTTTTTTTCTCAATAACCGATTATGTAGATTGTGTAGAATTGTTTATTTGTACATTTCTGTTGAATGAACCATTTTTCAGATATGCACTTAGCCAAATTTAATTTGTTTTTGAAAAAAAAAACTATTACATATAATAATTTGTTTAAGGCCTCATCACCTGAAATCAAAGTTCCAATCATATGGGTGTTGGGTGGCCCCGGATCTGGAAAAGGGACACAATGCGACAGGATCGTTGCCAAGTATGGATTTACTCATTTATCCTCTGGAGACTTACTTCGAAATGAGGTAAAGAATAAAAAAGGTGAATAATAGGAATAATTTTAATTTTAAGTTATATTTATTTTTTTTTCTTGCCTAAATAAGATGATGATTGATTAATGCTGAATTAATGTTAATTGCTGAATTTAAAAAAAAGTGTGTGTACTATGAGTCATCTTGAGTCACACAATCTCTAACCCATCATACCTCTGTTGTAGAGGGGACAGGGTATTTCCCATCCTCCTCTGACAACAGTTCTTCCTCCGAGGGTACACACCCTTCCACGGTTGGAGTTTGGCCCTCCGTGCCCTTCACAGTCGAGAAGCTTGCCTCCGGCTGAGGAACCCGTGAGGTGGAGGCTGGAGAATCTGTCTCCATTTTCTCCACCTCTTTAACTTGGTCTCTCCTTAGACCTGATACCGGTGTCGTCTCGTATCTATAATAGAGGATATGTCCCTCTTTCTCTATTGCCTCCTTGGATTTGAGGTCAATTCCTATTGTGAAGACCTTACCATGACCCTCCTCCCTCGAGTTGATGACTCTCCAACTCGATCCTTACATTGAAGTTCTGACCTTGGATAAGGCTCAGCAGGTAGGTGGTGTCTTTCCCCTTGCTCCTCGGCAGAAAGACCGTTTATGACCCTTTAGGGATGTTTTCTCCCTTCACTGCAACCAGTTCCGGCCCTTGCCAATTTTTAAGCTTAGGTGCGATTTCAACCAACCAATTTGCCGATTTTTGAAATCTATGAGGATCGATAGTGTATCCCCGCAAAACGCAGCTGACCCACATTTTGTAGATCGTTGTGTTGCGATCCGATCGCCACTACTTCGTCCAGTATAGCCTCTTCTAGAGACGTTTGCTGGTCGGTGGTCAGAGCAACCTCTGGGAAATCCTTTGACAGCACCGCCATTTTTACTTGTCCAGCAAGAAGATGCCCAAATCGTATTTTCAATCATGTCTCAATTTTTTCAAATGGAACGAGGGTGGCTCATTAGCATATTTGGAAAAAGCATTTTTTTAGGAATAATTTGATACCACACACTTGATATTTCGAAACAAATTTTCATTATGAACCGCAAGTTATCATTTCAATGTCATTCTATTCAGAGTGTTATTTTCTATCGAATAAAGTAAAAAAATACCGAGGGTGCAATTTAAAAATCAAAAGTTGTAGTCATTTCCGGTGAAACAGGAAGTGACAGAAAACAATTGAATACGTCAATCAACTCTAATTTATGTCAATTACAGACAGACGGACAGAGAAACGGACAGACGGACAGACAGACGGACAGACAGACAGACGGACATACAGACGGACAGACAGACAGACGGACAGACAGACGGACAGACAGACAGACAGACACCATGAAAATATTTTGTATTTTGGTCATTTATGACCCAAATAACTCATTTTAAGTGAGATTAAAAAAAAATTGCCGATTTTAATAGCCTACCATACCTGTCGGTATGGTCGGCTAAAAAGTTATAGGGGTGAGCCACTTTTGAGAAGCACCTGGTATTCGCCATTTCTATAGGGCTTTTCGAGCCCCATCTATATTCAGAGTTTCAGCCTTCTAGCTTACATAGGGCCCGAGTTACGACGCGCGACGCACCGTCTTGGCCTCCAATCGTTACCACTTTTCCTGACGTGTCTCGTGTGTCACGGCCTTCAACTTTTACTCCCACCACTCATAAAGAAGTTTCACTTCAAAAATGTCTCAAGATACATTTAAAAAGAAATTCCTTATAGAACAATAATAATATTCTATTATTATTAAACAACAAAAAATGAAAACGAAATATTATATTTATATATTCTATTATTATTGTCTATTCAGGTGAGCAGCGGTTCAGCAAGAGGTAAAGAACTTACCGCCATTATGGAACGAGGAGAGTTAGTTCCTATCGAAGTGGTTTTGGATTTACTTAAAGAAGCTATTTATAATGCTCTGCCTACATCTAAAGGTTATCTTATCGATGGATATCCCAGAGAAAAGGAACAGGGTATCCTATTTGAGCAGCATGTAGCACCAGTGAATCTAGTAATTTTCTTTGATGCATCAGAAGACACGTTAGTTGAAAGGTAAGGCTCCCATTCAATATTTGATGGGAATTGATTCGAATATGTTTATCAAAAGCTTCTAAAGTTCAAATTACAATTTTTGGATTTTAGTTTACTTTCTAAAAAATCTCGTTCATATTTTGGCAAATTTCCATACCGTTTTAAAGAAAATTAATTTTTGTATTTTCTTTAAATTTTGTTTCTATGGGAATACACAAAATTATAATCACCTATTCCGTAGCACTGAACCAAATTAATTTTGTGCTTCTTTAACATTTTCAATCAACAAAAAGCATGACGTTATTTAACATATTAAAATTCTATCAATAACAACAAAAAATGAAAACGAAATTATATTACCATATAAACGCGTTTTGATTTTTAGGAACTACATTTTCATGTTTCTTCTATTTTCTCTAAAGCGGTATGGCAATTTGAAAATACACTCACCGGCAAAAAAAAACCGGCCACTGAAAACTAGTCCCAATTTTAAAACTGGATTTCTGGCAAACCACTCATTAGATTTTGATGATTTTTTTTTTTAAATTGTAAATTAATTCCTTCTTAACGGATGCTACTTCAGCAATTTTTATTCCGAATTTATTTTGAGCATATACAGGGCACAAGAGTAAGTCGAAGTTTTTTGCCCAAATTTTGTAATACCCTGTAGGGTGCAGCAGCTGTACTAGCTATTGCTAAATCAAATCACATTGTAGCCTCATCTTTTGTGAGCATTTTGTTTTTTTAATCACGACATTATCTCTGTTTGTATTGGAGATACGCTGCTTTAAAACAAACGCCTCGAAAAAAGCTTTAAAAACAAATCAAACATCAGAACGTAGGTAAGTTTAACCTGAAAACTAACTAAAAACATGAAAATTAAAAAAAAAGGTAAAGAAATTTTAAGGGACTAATATCTAGTGTCCACTCGCCTGGTGAAATTTTTCCCGTTTCCATATACCGATTCCAGGCATCCTGGACTGTTGTTCAAAATATACCCAGACCCAGGGTATCGGAGACATAACGTTGACTTCGGCCATCCTCAATTAAAGCCACAATACGAGCAACATCCGTTACAGATGGCATTTTTTAATTTGACAACCGTTTTTTTCATATTGCAAATACTCATAAATGGCCGTTTTCGCTTATGCCGCCTTGATTATTTACACATAAAATTGTCTGCCTTTCAAGAAGCATTTTTCCGAGACGTTCGTTTTAAAACAGTATATCTCCAATACAAAAAGAGATAATGTGGTAATTAAAAAAACAAAATGCTCACAAAAGATGAGGTTACAATGTGATTTAATTTAGCAATAGCTACTACTGCTGATGTACTGCTGCTGCATCCTACAAGGTGTTACAAAGTTCGGACAAAAAACTTCGTCTTATTGTTGTGCCCTGTATATGCTCAAAATAAATTCGGAATAAAAATTTCTGACGTAGCATCCGTTAAAAAGGAATTAATTTACAATTTAAAAAAAAATCATCAAAATCTAATGAGTGGTTCGCGAGTAATCCAACTTTGAAATTGGGTCTAGTTTTTAGTGGTCGGTTTTTTTTGCCGGTGAGTTTATATAAATGGGAATTAACTATTTTAGAACAAGCAAACATTTTTATAAATGCCGTATTTTTCTCAAAATGTCAATAATAAAGTGTTTTCTTGTAAAGACAATCCGGTGACATAATATATCGATATTAATTTTGTTATTTTCTTAATTTATGCTTTGTAATTTTCTTTCTTTTTTGTTAATTAAATAAATTTTAAAATGTTTGTAATATATTTCAGACTATTAGGAAGGGCCAAAACGTCAGGAAGAGTAGATGACAACGAAGAAACAATCAAAAAGAGATTGCACACGTTCAACACGCATAACGATCATGTGATCCAACAGTATCCTGAAAAGCTCAGAAGGGTATGAATAATCTTAATATTTTTTAAACGTCTTTTTAAAATGGTGGAATTGTGAGAGGGGGCCCTGATGGAAATTTTAGAGAGGTGTCTTTTTTCGCTTTACGTTTTGGTCGTTTATTTCCTATTTTTGTTGTTAGTGTTTAAAAATACACCAAAATACTTTACTTTTACTTCAGTGTAAAAGTAAAAGTGTTTTAGTGTATTGTGGTGATTTAGTGTTTTATTCTGCTGTGTAACACCAAAGGTTTCAACCCCCAACTGTAATCTTGTTAGTGTTTGAAATCAGGGAATTACTCGTAATGCAATGCAAATGTAAATATTATTAATCCAAGTTTTGGGGATCACCTCAGAATATTACCACAGATTATACACTTATCGTCAACAGCATTGTTTTTCGTGGTTCCAATTTTCGGAGTCGCGCACTAGTTAGGTTACTAGTTTACGCACATAGCACGCCCACTTATGGCCTCTAAAATTGTGCACAGCACCTGACCGGCCCAGTTATTACGCTGTTTAAACGCGAGTTTATTTTTGCACACAGGAAATTTTACTCGTTTGCTCATCGTCATAGAATAGTATATTAAACAACGAGTTTCGAAAACGACGCTTTGCACACGAGTTCGACAGTTTGTTGTGACCACAAGTCGAACGAGTGTACAAAGAAGTTTTCGAACGAGTTTTTACGCTATTTTTTCTACGACTACAAATTAGCAGCAGACTCACTCAGTTTTTGCCAGTTTTGTGAAATAATTTGCTATGTAATGATGACACTTTTCTGACGGATGCGTTGCGTTTGGCGTTTCAGCTAAACATTGGAGGTTAAAAATGTTAAAATTGGCACATGTCGTGTACAAATTGACACATGTCGTGCGCTAAATCCTTAGCACACAACCTTTGAATAAGAAGACTTAAGGAAGGAGCATATCAAAAATCTTAGGTACACCGCGATGGGCCTCAAATATGGCCGACTTAAATTCCGGTTTATCAGTGTCGTTCTAATTTTATATAAGAAATGTAAAACTAAGATGTAGGGTAGACGTGGGGTAGACTCAATAATTTGTTGTTTTATTTTACCTTGTGAATAAATGTTGGTAGTTATTAAAATTGTTATAAAAATATATAATTCTAATAAAAATAGATAAGTTATAATAAGTATTTATTACCACAAACATCCGATACGCTACTGAAGCAGGTAAGTCAAATTAACGTATCTAAATTCTTTGACATCTAATCTTTGACAAGTAATAAATAAAATCTAAAATGCAAGAAAAATATATAATTTAGTTAATTTAAGTGAATTTCATAAATGATCGGTTTACTACACGTATGTATATTATATAGTCACTTACTAGCGAAAAGTTGTTCCATTATTTCACTCAATTTTTGCCGAGATCTACCGCACGCTACATAACCAACTATTTTAGAGTCTTTTCCGATAAATCGCGATAGTGTCACTGTTAATTTAAGTGCTGCCACAATTTTCATCTAGATTTACTACCTTTATACAACTATCAGTAGTAGAATAAATAATAAATAACATAAAATAAGCTCCGTAAAGACTGACAAATCCACAAAATTTCAAATCAAATTCAAATGTGTCAAATAAATCGTCAAACAGAACTGTCAAGGATCCCCACCCTAGAGTGCTTTTATGGCGTTTTTTCCGCCCACCATGCATGAATACATGGATAGCATTATGATCCTTCCTTAGTTTTCTTATTCAAAGCACACAACAGTTTGCAAAACGTCAATTTCAGATTGAGTTTTCCGTGTATCAAACTGCATTTTCTTGGCTAGCTGTAGAAAAAACAATTTTCGTACCACGAATTAGGGACAAGATTTTTATCTGTATACATATAGTATACCTAATCTGTGATATTACAGTCAATTTTTTCTGTTTTATTTCTACACTGAAAAAGCATATAAAACATTGCACCACAGACTGTATACTTAGATTTTTGTAAACATAATATGACACACAACTGTTGCATTAGCTAAGTTATTATTCTTTCCCAACTCAGTTTGTGCCTATTGACAGCAAATTGTGTAAAAAAATATAGCTAGTAGTGCTTTGTGTAATAATGATTTGTGTCAATTTGTAATAATAATTTTCTTTTAAATTTCATTGAGTATAATCTGAATATTCTCTGACACAAATTGTGAGAATTTTCGTATAAAATTAGGCATATTTAACTATTTTGTTACAGTGTGATGCCTAGTACCATTGTAGATGGAAAATGCAGCAGTCATAGACTTAAAATAAAATACTGGCAATCGCCACGCTGACTATATGGCCCGTCCGACTCTGCATTACTTTCATTTATTCACAGCTTTTATTCATAGATTCATTTCTACGATATTCTAACTGTTTAGATATCTAAAAAATAATTTTTATTATTTATGACATCTATGATTAGTGATGAGCGAAATCGGCTCCTCACTAACTAGGTATGTTTTTTAATGCATAGTTCAAATCAAATAAACGTTTAGTCACGTGATTAATGAATCGGCATAGCGTTACCAACTTTTACATATTTTCCTTTAATGAAATTATTTTAGGAAAAAAAATTAATCAATTATAAATATATAAACAGTTATTTTTTATATCAACAAAACTCACCTTCTTAGCATCACTTAGGGGACATAAAGGGCCATTACTTCCGCTTTCGCGTTCAAAATATTCTAATAAAGTTGCGATAAGTTTTTTACAGCTATTAACCTATCTTGTAAACTTCGCACTAAAGTATCACAACATAATTCATTTAAACCAAAAACTTACTGTAATATGTATAAAACTAAAATATCAAAACAAATGACAATGTCATGAAATAAATAGGTAAATGTGGCAATTTGAATTATTTTACAGCAGACCTACCATCTGAATCCCCAGCGGGAAATTTAAATTCCATTTAGTCAGCCCGGCGCCGAATATGTCCATGGTTGGCAACAATGAATTTAAAAATCGCGCCCTCGATTACGTAACTAAAAGTTTAATTGGTTTAATTGGTTAACTTTTATTTATTATTTATAGTAATAAATAATTATTTTATTTTTACTAATTTATATTTCTGTTTCAGATTCATGCGGAAAGATCTCCCGACGAAATTTTTGCTGAAACTTCGGCATATATCGACGAGTTATTGGCCTCTTTCTGAATAATTTTGCACACTTGTACCTGATTATTTAATACACACGTAACAACGAGTACAAGATCTACAGGATATTATTTATTTATTTATAAAATTCTAAGCAATATATTTGTTAATTGTTACTTAAGAGGTGGTTTATTTTATCCGTTTAAATTAATTCTATTTATTATTTCAAATTCAAAATATTTCTGTTAGTTTCTTTTATCCAATGTTTATGTTATCGAACTTATTTATACAGAGTGTCCCAGAAATAAGTGCCAGTATTTTAACTGGTAGTATAGTTCAACCCCAGAAACACGGCTATGAGTTTTTTTTCGCGAAAAAAAAAATTTGAAAATTCGAAATTTTTTTAAAAAAATTTTGGAAATGTTTTTAGTTAAAAAACATAATTTCTTGATAATATAGCAACATAAGTATTAGATTAAATTTACAAGAAAAAAAATCCAGAAAAGATCCAGTGGTTCCCAAAATTTTAGCAAAAAATCATTTTTTGGAAATTTTCAAAGTAAAACATCTCCGTTATTTTGGACTTAATTGAAAAACGATAAAGAGAAAATATGATTCTTTTATCGAGATCTACCACCCTTTAAAATACTTGCAGTTATGTCTGGGACACCCTGTATACGAAAAGTTATTACCCTTCAAATCAGTTAAAAAATATGTAGGTGCCCTCTTCAAGTAGGAGTCATATTGACATCAAAATCAAATTTCTCATGTAAAAAAAACTTCCAGACACCAGTTTCCATCCAAATATTGACGTTACTTCATAAATTATTTAGAAAAAATCGAAATAAATATGAAACTTCTACACCCTGGATCTCCAAAACTAAGCAATTTAGGACATATATTTATACGAACCTTATTACTTATTTTTATCTGCAGAATATGCTTCCGAAGTTTCTGGAATACTGTTCGGACCACCTTGTATAATATTTACTAAAGCCGGTCCCACACGATGTGTCAAACACCTTCTAACGTTGGTTGGGTTGGGTTATTTGCGACATCGTGTAGGAGACACACTTACGAACTTCAATATTGTCGAAGCGTATGCGAAATGATGCGTCCAACGTTGTCAAATTTTATTTTTTGTTATTTACAAAAACACCATATTAAATTCATGTATTTTATTCCGAAAGGTCACATTATTACAAAACAAATGTTTATTTTTATATTTATAATTTTGTTAAACATCCTGGTTGAATTTTAATAGTACTTCAGTAACATTGCATATTTTCACACATACCACTTTACTCAGATCCACCATTATAACCTCAGTTTAAAACTTTTGAAGTAAATATAAAAGTTAATAATTCATATCGTAATACCAGCTTCTTTAACCATCTTCAAGAACATACTAGTTTTATCTGCTAATAAGTTTGCCGGAGAATCAAACTCTCTGATTTCTCCTCTCTCTAAAACAATAATTTTGTCTGAATCTATGATAGTATGCAACCTGTGTGCGATGGATATGATAGTACAATCGGCAAAGTTTTCTTTGATAGCGTCGTGCAGCTTGGCATCTGTTTTAGGATCCATGTTAGCTGTTGCCTCGTCCAAAACTACAATTTTGTTACTTCGAATAATCGCCCTGGCTAAACAAATTAATTGTCTTTGTCCAGAGCTTAAAGCTGGCGCGTTTTCATTGATGGGCATGTCCAGAGTAAGATGTACTCTTTCAAGTAGTTTCCAGATTTCTTTGTCAGAATACATGATATACGGATCGATGTTTGATCTTACTGTACCGGTAAATAAAACAGGGTTTTGAGGAATGATTGCAACGCTTTGTCTAAGGTATTCTATAGAAACGTGCTTGATATCGACTCCGTCGATAAGGACTTTTTCTCGGACTTGGTAGAGTCTGAAGAGACTGCCCAAGTAGCATTTTCACGACTTGCGACCGCATGTTTACTAAACACAACGTTGGATTAGTTACAAAAAATAGTTAGCTCCCTACCATGGGTATTAAAATAAATTTAAACGTTTCTATAACGTTGTGCCGACGTTGGACAAGTACTACAGCAAAGTAGAAGCTTCTGCGACGTCGAATAAACGTTGTCTTGTAACCTTTTTTGCTTAAGTGATCTTTAGGTGATTCGGACAACGTAGTTACAACGTTGGACAATATAGAGTTTTCCGACGTCAGTTTCAGGACCTATTCCAACGTTATGCAAACGTCGTCTCATATCTACCGGTATGTTTATTACCTATTCTTTAGATATTATATTTTATGAGAGCTTATCATTACGTTCTATTTGTGTAATTTCTAAATGATTTTCGTATAAATAGAGATATTTATTTATTTAATACTATTTTTTCTTGTAATTTTCAAGAAGGCCCTGGAACTACTAGAACACTAGAACCAAAAACTTCAAATCTTGTAATAAGGATTATATTGAGTCTGTAGTCAAATAAAACTGTATATAAATTAACGTTCTGTATACATTTAGCTTGTATACTTTGGGTCAAAACAAATCCATATATGTGTACACATATTGGTGAGACTACATCTCAATACATATACATATTATATGTATATGGTATATGTTTAAATACTTTAAGTGCATTTAGCAAGAATATATAAATAACATAGTCTAATAATTCACAGAAAAAAATTTATTAAATTTATATATTTTATTCGATAGACCACTTTATTACAACACAAATGTTCATTTTTATACTTATAACTTTTTAAACTTCTTGGTTGAATTTTTACAATACTTCAGTACATTGCATATAGTTTGACGTTCTTCCTTCATCATTTGGCTTAATACTTTGCTCAGATCCAGATTTTTAACCTCAATTTATAACTTTTTGAATTAAAAATATACGTTCTTATATCGTAATACCAGCCTGCTCGACCATTTTAAAGAACATACTAGATTTATCTGACAATAAGTTTGCCGGAGAATCAAATTCTTTTATTTCTCCTCTCTCTAAAACCATAATTTTGTTTGAATCTATGATAGTATGCAACCTGTGTGCGATGGATATGATAGTACAATCTGCAAAGTTCTCTTTGATAGCGTCGTGAAGCATGGCATCCGTTTTAGGATCCATATTAGCTGTTGCCTCGTCCAAAACAACAATCTTGTTCCTTCGAATAATCGCTCTGGCTAAACAAATTAATTGTCTCTGTCCAGAGCTTAAAGCTGGTGCGTTTTCGTTGATGGGCATGTCCAGAGTAAGAATACTGCCTTTAAGATGTACTTTTTCAAGTAGTTTCCAGATTTCTTCGTCGGAATACATGATATACGGATCGATGTTTGATCTTACTGTACCGGTAAATAACACAGGGTCTTGAGGAATGATTGCTACGCTTTGTCGAAGGTACTCGATAGAAACGTGCTTGATATCGACTCCGTCGATAAGGACTTTTCCTCTGACTTCGTAGAGTCTGAAGAGACTGGCAATTATGGATGATTTTCCTGCACCGGTCCGTCCGCAAATGCCGATTTTCTGTTTCGGTTCCACGGTGAAGCTGAGATTTTTGAGGACGTCCTTGTTGCCGTAGGATAGAGACACGTTTTCGTATTTGATTTGGCCCTCGTTTGGCCAGCCGTCGATTTTGCTTCCTTGACGTTTTTCTTGTTTGATTTCGGTGTATTCCAGCGCTCTTTCGACTGACGTCATCTGGTTTTCAAGCTCGGCCCATTGTCTAACGCCCCACTGCACGTGACCTGCCAACATGAACACTTGGTTGAGAACCAAGCCGACGTTTCCAGCACTGGTACCTAGAACAAAAAATATTTGTTGTTCAACACGAATCATGATAAAAGTAAAAAAAAAGTTTTAGCGTTTTTTTTATTAAATGTCATAATTATTTTTTGATATTCTACTATATATGTCCTAATATACAGGGTGTTAAAAAAATGTGCCGTCTCTCGTGGGGAGATTCCTCACGTAAAAATAATACTTATTTTTCATATCAACATAGGTCCGATTCTGCTTTGTTTCGTAGCGACAGGGTGTTGAAGTTTTAATAACCTCTCGATTTATTATAATTTCCTTTCAAGTACTTTTAGTGATTCGAATGAAATTTTGTGGGTAAAAGTTACTATAAGTGGAACATATTTTAATGCTAAAAAAGTGTTGATAAATTCATCAAGGACGTGCATATGGGTTATCACCGGAATATTTTTCAAAAAAAACATGTGCGGCAAACCAAACACTAATTCACCACAATACATCAAAACCCTTTACTTTTAAACACTGGACGCGCGTTTCGTTAACCATATTAGCATCATCAGCAAATACTTAAAAAAGTTTTAGTGTTTTGGTATAATGTTTGGGTATATTGTGGTGAATCAGTGTTTTTATTTTGCTGTTGTAACACCAAATGTTCCAAACCCCCAACTGTAATGAACATCAACATACTCAAAAAGGTGAAACTATGGAGCCAGATATTGCAGTTCATGTGTGGTCCAAATACCACAACAAAACATGATCCAAAACCCGGGTTTTTCATATACCTATAAATAATAAATATTTATAATTTTAGATATCTATACAGGGTATGTAATTATTGGTCAAGAACAATCCCAATGGCGCCCAACATTTAGTTTGTTATTGTTAAACTTGATATTAGATAAGTGTTTCTCTCAAGTTATGTAGTTTTAATGTCTTGAAAGCATTTTTTATTTTTAACTTTTTCATAATTCTTTCAGATAAAAAACATCATTTGGCATGTATATGACACAAATTAGGTTTGATTGACGCATTCAACTGTTTTCGGTCACTTCCTGTTTCACAAGAAAGGACCACAATTTTTCATTTTTAAATATTATCCTCGGTATTTTTTTACTTTATTTGATAGAAAATGACATTTTGAATAGAATGACATATCATATGCCAACTTTTGACATTTTCGCATATGGATTATTTGAAATGGTAACATGCGGTTCCTAATGACTATTTGACTCGAAATACCAAGTATGTGGTACCAAATTATTCGTGAAAGATGTTTTTTTCCAAAGAGTCACCCTAGTTCCATTTGAAAAATTTATAATATGATTAAAAATACGATTTGCGCACCTTTTAACCAGCCATGGCCAGGACAAAGCACGAAAAATATTAAACGCTCAAATCTATTTTTCCAAGGCTCCTTCATTAATAAATAGTGTTTTTAATAGAAATACTGTTTAGATTGAAATTTAAAATACGATTTTTAAGCCAAAATATCAAAAGTTGACATATCATATGTCATTCTATTCAGAGTGTCATTTTTACCGAATAGAGTAAAAAAATTCGCGCCGGGAGGCACGTATAGCCGCCCATACTAAAATATGTTAATAAAAAGTTGGTAGGCAGTTCTTTTAGTTTCAAAGTAAAGGAATTTTTCCAATTTTGGTTAGCGGTTATTTCCCCTATCCGCCACCTGGGGTCGCGTCCGATGGGAGTTTGGAATTCCCCACACGGATTTTCTCAAAAACGGACTACGGAAACACGGAATATCTCAAAAACTGCGACTTTGAATGATTTTGATGTTATTACAAATTTTGTTGTAAATATTATTCCTAATCTTAAATTGAAAGCCGCGTTTCGCTAGCTACTGTAATTTTAGAGTTACGATTTTTTAAAATTTTTAACCCCCTCCCATACCCCCTTACCAACGCCCCACCCCCACCAAAAACGAACGGCCAGATTCTCGGGTGCCACACTATTTTTGTGCCAAATTTGGTTAAAATCGGTTTAGCGGTTTTTGAGTTATCGTGTTACAGACGGACACACGGACACACAGATGGACACACAGACAGACAGACAGACACCATGAAAATATTTTGTATTTAGGTCATTTATGACCCAAATAACTCATTTTGAGTAAAATTGAAAAAACTTTTTTTTGCCGATCTTAATAGCCTACCATACCTGTAGGTATAGTCGGCTAAAAATACGGAAACAGGAAGCGACAGAAAATAATTGAATACGTCAGTCAATCATGATTTATGTCATATACTAACGTACCAAATCCCATTTTTTTATCTGAAAAAATAAAAAGTTTTTTTTTTGAAAAACACCCGGTATACGAGCTAAACTATTTGCTGTGTAATATTAAAAAAACGTTACAACATTACTTACCATTGTCGAAGAACACAAATCTTGAAACAATCGAAGTAATAAATAAGGCACAGAAGAAATCGAGAGCGAATCCAAATGCCCTCATTGTACAGGTCATCATGTAATGAGCTGAGGTGTACAAGTCTTGATGTCTGTCAAATTCCAATTTGAGTATTTCTTCAGCATTATATGCCCTGATCGTCGTGAGACCTTCCAGTGAAGCATTTAAGTGTCCTACTAAAGGACTTCTTGCTAAAAAATATGAATAACCTTAATACTGTTTGTAAACTTTCTGTATAATAAACTTATTTTGAAATTAACCCCTTTCTAATTTAAAATCTAAACTGCTACCAGAAACGACACATGCCCGTTTTTTTGGGGAAAATTATACAGATTGTTTCAAAAAACATAAGATTTATTTTAAAATAAGGTTTATTTTTATAAATAAAAAATAAGATTTATTTTTCACATTAACATAGGCTCGATTCTGCTTTGTTTCCTAGCTACAGTGTGTTAAAGTCTTATTATTTATTCGATTTATTATACTTTTCTTGTAAGTACTTTGAGCGTTTCGAATGAAATTTTGAGGGTAAAAGTTACTATAAATGCGACATATTTTAATGCTAAAAAGTGTCGACATTTTCACCAGGGACGTGCATATGGGCTATCCCTGGAATATTTTTCTGAAAAAAGTATGGACGCTACTGACTTTTTTATTTTTTGTTAGCGGAATTGTAAGCTGTTTAATGCCGATTAAAAGTTGTCTCTTGATATTTTGTCGAATTCGGCCTCCTTGATAAGATAAACGCAATTTTATTAATTTGCCTTGATCCAAATCTAATAGCAATCTTCAAAAAAATTATTATCATTAACTTGAGGAAGTTTTAAATAAGTACTCATTGATTCCTTATCAAAAAATATGAAAAAAAGTTTATATAACTTTTTTTTATAATAAACATGGGTATGAAAATGCATATGTTTAGAGTTACTGGATGTTTTGTTCTAACTTTTTATAATTAGGTTTTTTGTAATTATCTTAAATACTATAATTTTATTATTTGGAATTGCTGCATGTTGGACTTATAGTAATAATAACTAATAATAATAATATTTAGTAATAAATTAGATAAAATAATTAATTTATTAATTTAATTTTTATTTTAATTTTATTAATTGTGATTAATAAAATTGCGTTTATCTCATTAAGGAGGCCGAATTCGACATAATATCAAGAGATAACTTTTAATTGGCATTAAACGTCCTACACAATTTTGATATCAAAATAGAAAAAGTCAGTGGCGCACATGTTTTTATTTTAAAAATATCCCAGTGATAACGCATATGCACGTCCCTGATGAATTTATCGACACTTTTTTAGCATTAAAATATGTAGCACTTATAGTAACTTTTACACTCAAAGTGTCATTCAAATCACTAAAAGTACGTGGAAGAAAATTATAATAAATCGAAAAATTATTAAGACTTTAACACCCTGTAGCTACGAAACAAAGCAGAATCGGACCTATGTTGATATAAAAAATAAATCTTATTTTTACGTGAGGAATCTCCCCACGCGAGAGATGGCACATGTTTTTTGAAACACCCTGTAGAAAATTTAAAAATTATATTTTTTTAATTTAAATCGAATCGTTACATCCTTATTATCTTAAATTATACCCAAGTAGCATTTGGACGTTATCTAACGTCGGGTATACGTCGCGTTCAATAAACCCGACGTCGGGTACCAACGTCGGTTCGACCGCCTGACGACCCTTATTTGCACCTAAATGGGGAACACAGATTCGGGTCGCCTCGACGTCGATATCTGACCTAATAAGGAATGTAATTCTACCAATTACCAACGTCATATTACGTTGGATTTTAGTACACTTAAAATTCGTCGCTAAGCACTTACGTTACGTTTGGTTTCATATTCGCTACCAAGAATACATAAAAACCTAACCAAACTACCTAATTACAAATGGATTCATAATCATTCCTCGAATATAACTATAAGTGCCTATTTAATTTCATATTATAATAATTCTGAATCATTAATCCAGACATCAGTTTTGTCAACGGAAGACTTTGTGTATCAGCGATTTGTGGATTTGTGCAACTATATTTTAGTTTTTGTTTTCTCGTTAAAAAAAATGGGCAGCCACTTTTTTAAGCCTAACCTCACATGTCGGAGGAGGATGAGGTCTGCTAGTATCCTAACCTAAAAAATGAAATTAAGATGCACCAGTGTAATGCAGCATCTCTTCCGGATAAAAAGCATTTACGGGTGGAGGCAAGACATCACCACTACTATTATTATTTTGCAAACGCCTCTTTCTGGCCTTTTTAGTGTTTTTTTAGGCATAATAAAAAATTTAAGTTTGTTTACAAAAACTTTTTATTAGGTTATGTTCATGATGTTCATTAAGATGTTCATTAGGTCGCAAATGCTACTTAATGGGTTGTATTTACGGACATAAATAGAGATACGTAAATTAGGTTATAAATATGAACATAAAATACAACAAAATATAATTGGACGTTAGTTTAGGGATTATCAGTGAGACGTATCCTATTCGGACAACGGGTAGACGTCGGGCTAGTTCAAGTATATGTACGTCGTGCAAGCCAACGTAGGAACGACGTTGGGAAATTAATAAAAATGGTACGTTGTTATTTTGTACGTCGACAGATCGTTGGATTTACTGACTCGGATCCAACGACGTCGCTTTTAATAGGAAAGCGACGTCACAGGTCGTATCACGAACACCCGACCTAAATTTGCACAAAGTCTGACGTCGCTTCAGGTCAGATTTAGTTCGAAGTCAGATAGATGCTACTTGGGATAGAGTCTTGGGGTTTTCAATACGAATTATGTTGCCTGCAATATATTTGAAACTATTTTTACGCTTTTTTAAAACCTTTTTGTAACGGTTTTAAAATCCGTTACTTATTTTTTCCAAACCACTCATTCTACATTCTATAAGTCTTCTTAAAGATAGTAACTATCCTTACAAAGATTTATATTAGAGCAGAGGAACTTTTTATCTGTCATTATACAAAACATTCTTGATGTTATGTACTTACTGGCTGCCTCAAGTCGCTTCAAACTTCTTCCAGTCGGTAAATACAATCTTCGCAAAATATACGTGATTGCGAAGAAGATTGCAGTCGGAATTGCAAAACGCCAGTTTACCAGTAAAATGTTCGTTATTATTCCAGTGACTGATACGCCAACCTAAAAATAAAAAATAAATCGTTAAACTAAGTTAAAAAATGTCTATACCTATGTGGCGGATTCATCTCTCCAAAAAATCCTATATGGGTATTTCGCCACTGCAAGAAAATCTACAAAATAAAATAGATATTTTTTGTAAACACTTTTGCGTCAATCCCAAACGGAACCTACTTGTCAGAAGTTAGGTTTACAGATATACAAATTAACAAAAAAATGCTTAACGTTTCGGAAAGTCTATCTCTTTCCGACGTCGGAAGCAAAAAAAAATACAAAGAATAAAGAAAAAAACTATTTAAAATATTTAAATTCAACTATTCGAGAACACTTTAGTTTTTTTAAAACAGATACGTCTAAAAAAACCGTTGACGTTCTGTTAAAATTACATTATATCAAGTTAAATTTCAAAATTAACAATTACTACCTGATAACAATAACTTAATAAGGTAAAACCAAAAAGCCACAAACCTTCTGTATGATTATTTTTAATTTTTACGTATGTTATGTTCTTTAAAATCAAAGAAGCGATTGCCATACATTACTAACATCTACAGATGCATGAGCAAAACATTTATTTTTATTAGATTGTATTAAAAAAACTCAACTTTTATTTTTCTTTCAGAGGCTATCGCTTCTTTCATTATAATTTTGGCGTTATTAAAATTTATTCTGTGCCCTGTGTCCCATGAATGCTGACAAATCTGAGATTTGTGAAAATCTCCCTTTCTTAAATAATTTTTATGTTCTGTAATTCGAACATTTAAAGGTCTAGATGTTTCACCAATGTAAAATTTATCTATTTTATTTTTTTTTTTTGTTTTTTTTTATTATTTTTTAATTTGTATATCTGTAACCCTAACTTCTGACCAGTAGTTTCCGTTTGGGATTAACGCAGTAGTGTTTACAAAAAATAACTATTTTATTTTGTAGATTTTCTTGCAGTGGCGAAATACCCGTATAGGATTTTTTGGGGAAGCTAAGTTAAGCTGCGTGGGAATAGTTCTTCAATTCACAAAATTTTAAACTACATATTTCTTATGTGAAAGTACTACGAGAAAAATTACAGAAAACCAAAAATCCTAATGCCAGTTTATTAAGAGAATAATGATTTTAGACCAGAATAATATCTTTAGACCACCCAAAACGTAATTTTAGTTTAACACAAACTAGGCAGAGTACTTCCTCCGCCCAGATAGAAAAAGTGCAGCCTTAAAGTTTATAGTGTACCACTACAGCTGCACATGTTTTGTACTTTCTTTTCTTTTTTGTTTAATAATTATTTTGTTTTACAGGGTGTTTAAAAAAACATGTGCCATCTCTCTTGGGGATATTCCTTACGTAAAACATAGGTCCGATTCCGCTTTGTTTCGGACCTATAGGTGGTTAAAAAATATCTATACCTATGTGGCGGGTTCATCTCTCCAAAAAAATCCTTTATGGGTATTTCGCCACTGCACTGCAAGAAAATCTACAAAATAAAATAGTTATTTTTTGTAAACACTTCTGCGTTAAACCTAAACGGACACTGCTTGTCAGAAGTGTTTACAAACAATAACTATTTTATTTTGTAGATTTTCTTGCAGTGCAGTGGCGAAATACCCATAAAGGATTTTTTGTAGGTTGTTAGTCTTAATATTTTTTTAAATTTATTATAATTTTCTTCCAAGTGCTTTAAGCGATTTGAAAGACATTTTGAGGGTAAAAGTTACTATTAGTGCAACCTATTTTAATGGTAAGGAAGTCTCGACATATTCACCAAGAACATGCATATAGGTTATCACTGGAATATTTTTCTTAAAAAAAAACATGTGCGCCACTGACTTTTCTGTCTTGTTAGCAAAATCGTGTAGGCCGTTTAATAGCGACTAAAAGTTGTCTCTTAATATTTTATTGATTTCAGTCAGTAAAGGCAATTTTATTAATATACCTTAATGCCACTCTAAGTCTAACAGGAACCTTTAAAAAAATTTAATGTTATTAATTGGCCAAAGTCTTAAATAAGTACTCATTGATTCCTCGTAAAAAAATATCAAAAAAGTACCTATAAACATGGGTGCAGAAATGCATAGTTTTAAAGTTGAGCCCCATACTCACACTTCGCTCCTTCGTCCCTTCGTCGCGTTACTTCACTTCGTCACTTCACTTCGTTCCTTCGTCCCTTCGCTTCGTTCCTTCGTCCCATTCGATGTTTGGAAATTAGTCGATTATGCAACAACACACCACAACATATTTTTAATGTAGCCAGCTACATGTTTATTACGAAACCTCTAAAATTTTTAAAAAATCCGAAAGGCGCATAATTTTTATTTTATAAAACTGCAATTCTTTGTCTTGTCAAAAAAAAATGAATTTTAATAATATATATTTTTTTAATAAATCCGAAATATTTCAGTATCATGTACAAGGTATATCAGTATGAATGTACAAGGCGAGTCAACAATAGAGTAAAGTTTATTATGTCATTTATATCGAAACTATGAAATATGACATACCAATTAAACGTTGATGTCAATCCCCATTTCTTCAGATATTTTTGTAAAGGCATCATGCGCACTATTTCTATTTTTTTATTTTTGTCGCTACGATTACATAAATATGGACATGTATTTCTTCACAAATATGAAGACAATATTGTCTTTTCCTTCCATTTTTAAGACTGTTGTGTGTGGATCTATTTTTATATCTACTGGCGATAGCTAGATGTACAGGGTGTCCCATTTTTGTGTGTTTTATGGGGTTTCTGGTTTATGAGTAGAGATATATAGATGCCGTTTTTACATCATTGTTCTACTTGTTATGAAACTAAATATGCTACACACAGATTTATCTTAGTCTTCTTAGTTTTGATTACCTAATTTAAACCAGCCGACTATGTAATAAAGTTAAATAATGCATTTTTACCCCGTTTATGAAAATAACTATTTTAGAAAGCCCGTAACAAGGAAAATAAAATAATATACAAAAAATCGCATTTAAAATAGTGATGGGAAAAACCGACTAATTTCAATAATCGAGTACTCGAGTTTCAAGCGATTGCAGTAACCGAGCGATTGCTCGAGCGAAATACCACTCGTATTTAAAAATACGGGCTTTCACCCGTTGTTTGTTGTAAGTACTCGTTAACGCCAAGCGCCAAGCAGTAAGTTGCGTGCGCAGGGCACATATTCTTTCGGAGATGAATGACAATTAGCAAGCGGCGAGCGATTCGCTTGATCGCTTGATTTAGTTTATTTCAAAGCATTGTCGATGTAGGCCGTAATATTTTGTCTCTCAGATACGCAACGGATAAATATATATAGGCGTCGTATAAATTTCCTACCTGCAATGTATGTAGAAAATTCGCTCGGCTTTTTATCGAGTATGTGACATTAAAATCGGATTTCAATTTATTTCATTCTATGATCGCTTGATTTCGTTGCTTGGTTTCATAATCGAGCGATGTCGGTTATTCCAATAATCGAGTACTCGAGCGAAATTTAAAAAAAAACATATAAGTTTTAGTCATATTTAAAAAAGACAGATTCCAACGAAGAACTAGTTACGTCCATGCATTCTACGTGAAAAACTGTACGGGACACCATTTTCACCTTTTCGATAAGTTATGATACGAAAAGGGGATCGAAAAATGCAATAATTTCAGATTCGCCCTGTGAGTAAGAGAGCCAGGACATGTCTATATGTAGCATCTTTAGTTTCATAAAAAGTAACATCGTAATGTGAAAACCGCATTTTTGTATCTCTACTCATAAACGAGAAACCCTGCAAAACACACGAAAATGGGACACCCTGTACAGACGTACTGCCAAATCAAGAAATCAACTACGAATGAAATTTAAGATCGATTTATATATTTTATATATTTTAATATTTTTTTGTGTTCGTAATAATTCCTTTGCTACTTCGTCCAAAAACCGACAGTACGGGGAAGGAGCGTTTTGAGGAAGTAAACGGACGAACGAACGAAGAAACACACATTTCCCATAGTAAATATAGGATTTTTGGACGAAGGGACGCGATGAAGGAACGAAGTGAAGTAGCAAAGTGTGAGTATGGGGCTTTACAGGATGTTAGGTTAATACCATTATTTTTTTCTTGTATTTGCTGTAGATAGAACTGAACATCAGTGTTATCAACTTCAAAAAATGTTAATAATAAATTAGATAAAATAAATGTCCCAGGTAAATATGTCGACAGTTTTTTATCATTAAAATATGTCGCACTTATAGTAACTTTTACCCTCAAAATTTCATTCGAATCACTAAAAGATCGAGCAAAAATAAATAAAAATTTAAAAGAAAGATCAATCTCTCCACGAGAGACGGCATATGTTTTTTGAAACACCCTGTATAACCTTACCCTAAAGAATTCTGATAAGGTCCACGGCAAAAATTCATCGATGTTTATCAGATCTTGAGAGAACCTATTCAATACGTTTCCGATAAAGTTCGTATCGAAGAACGACATCACAGCATTGATCACCGTAGAGGACATTGCTTTGTGAAGCCTTATCGAGGCCCTCCTGCAGTAATCGAAGAGCAAATAAGCTCTGCCCAATAAGAGAAGTGAGGAGGATCCCAGCATTACAGAGTAGAGTATTATGTAGTAATTTTTATTATATACTGTCTGCTCGAATTCTTCGGTGTCAGTTTGATTTGTGGCAAATAAGTCTTGTTCCTTTTGTTGAGAATCGATCCTAAAAAGAAATAAGAGTTTAAAATTATGATTAGTGTTAGAACAAATGTTAATAGTACAGTCAATCTGGCATAAAAAAAGGTCTATAGACTCTCATCAAATTACCCCCGCTCTCATACTTTGCCAGTCGTAAATGGTTCATTGCAGTGGAAAGAGAATTAAATTCTCTACATTTTCATTTGTAAGTAACAAACTTCTAAAACCTAAGTTAGAGGGCGTCAAAGTCACTCAAACGCAGTTTTTTTGTATTTTTTTCCGGGAGAAATCATTTTTTACTGTCGCAAAGTTTTTAAAAGTATAAAAATACAGAAGTAGAAGAAACCTATAGAGCATAAAAAAAACTATCAAAATTGATGTGTAACTTTTTTTACGTTTTACCGTTTACGAGATATATTGCATTCATTCCCACAATGTGTATGCAACTTTCATGAAACCAATGACTCTCGATAAGGACTGCAAGTTAATTTCGCCGAATACGATGTTCACTTGAACTAAGGATCGTTATAACATTCTCTAATCATTTTGAGATTTGTTTAGGTGAGCTGAAGATAGCGTTTTTGAGAAACTCAAAAAATGTTCTATTTTCTGGCTAAACAGAAAATTTTATAGAACAAAAAATGAAGAGAATTCAATTCTATACAATTTTATTTTTCAGTAGCAAAGCTGTAAAACCTACCGAGACAAAATTTTTACTTCAAACATGAAAAAATTGCTTACCACGTCAAAACCCTCACATCTACATTGCCAAAAGACGTCATCTGATCGACTAGTTACGCTTCGTCCTACGTGGGAGACAAAAGCGCGCGATTCGGGCGACGCGTATTTATCAAACAACGTTTTCTTACGAAGCTGTCCTAGGTAGGAGATGCGCGCGACTGAAGCGGCATCGGAGGCGATTGAAATTGTCGCGCGAGTCGCCCTCTGTTGTAGCACGCGTCGCCCGCTCGCTTTTGTCTCCCCCTAAAGGTATGATTCCGAAGACGGCGACAGCGACAAGCGACCGCGACAGACGACAACGACAGGCGACAGTGTCGATTACCGCTGTCGTCATATCATTGTCGATGTCGGCGACAATATGAGCGAGATCTACGATGTAGTTGTCAGTGTTTAAATGACGTTCGCGAAGTAGTTATAATCATTAATAAATATGTCTGATTACGTGATTGATAAAAATGTCTTACTTGAATTACTGGTGCAAGATGATAAAGAAGACGAAATATTATTGTTACTTGTAGCAAAAAAAAGAAGAAAACCCATTTTACCTCTGTTTAAAAACAGACCTAGGGAAGGAAGTTATTCCTTACTCATAAAAAATAATCTTTCCATATATGAGGGATGTAGTAACAAAACGTACAATCTCCACTTTTTATAAAAAATCTGGTAAAATATGATTTGAATACTACATTTCGAGTTGCATTAGAATAAGATGCTATTTAGCATCAAAATGGGCAATATCCAATTGTATTTTTCGTTCAAATGTTGGCTTTAGTTTCAAAACGTGCAATCATCACTGACAAGTGAATATTAAAGCGTGCAATGTCCAAACAACTAATAGGAGAAACCACAACATGACCACGTGATTCGCTAAGTTATATTAATCTAATAATATTAGCGAATAATAATTACCAAAGGATTGAAGCACGGAATCTAGGTACATGGAGAAGTTACCTATAAGAGTGACTTAGGTGCTGATAAACCGATTTGCAGAAGAGGCAAACGTTTAGGTGATATTGTCCCAAATATTATTGAAAAACAAAACGTGATAAAGGAAAAAAATCGCACCATCACTGCTTTGCTGAAAGGTCATTATGGTGAAAACTGAAAAGAAGATAAAGATTTGGAATTTTATAAGTTCGTTCTAGATGAGCCAGAAAAACAGTCTGAGGAGGATAAATGAGAAGAATAAATTTGCGAGTATTTTGATGAGGGACCCAGCGTGAGAGTTTAAGATTTACTTAATTAGATTTAAAGTTTAGATAAGAAAAAATAGTTTGAATCCTAAACAATAAGATTTTTTGCATTTGAATAAACTACTTTATTTTCGTCGATATTATTTTTTGCTCTTAAGTCGGTCAATTACTACAGTTTACTTTAAAAATGTTCAATCTCCACAGTTTAGTTTCAAAATGTACAATCTCCAAATTAAATTTTTAAATTTCGAAGTTAATCCGCAATATTTTTCTTGTAGCATTTGTAGCATGATATACTAAGTACTTATCTTAAACTGCAGAGCCATTGAAAATTTTGTTTGCATCTATATTTTGATTTATAAGAGAGTTTTTCGTGATTTTCTCAATATTGACACAGAAGGAGATTGTAGGTTTTGTTACTACACCCCCCATATTATCCTTTTAATCAAATTATTTTTATAATTTTCCACACTAGTATCATAGAGAGTAGGATATTTACATACTAATTTAATTAATTTGTCTACTTCCTCCCTGGTAAAATCCATTTTTTTGTCAAAAATCTGAGTGATATGAATGACGACACGACAGTACTGGACAAATACCGGTAGCGTCGGTGGCTTAGACGACATGTTGGATAAAAACTGTGGCGCGACACCTGTCGTCGGACTCCGAAGTTACTCCATTTGATTCTAAAAGATCAGTGGAGTCGCAGGTGTCGCTGTCGCCGTCTTCAGAAGCATACCTTTACGCTTCGTCCTACGTGGGCGACAAAAGCGGGCAGCTTCGTAATAAAGGACAGCTTCGTAAGGGAAAACGTTGTTTGATAAATACGCGTCGCTCGCACCGCCCGAATCGCGCGCTTTTGTCTCCCACGTAGTACGAAGCGTTAGGACGAAGCGTTAGTTTTGAAATGCGAACCAGAGGGAGGAACACGACAATAGATCGAGTGGCAGCTGCGTCCTAGAATGCTTGCGCAGCAGCCCGCGATATTGGCAACGTTATATCTCGTAAACAGTGAAAGTTAAAAAAGTTACATATCAATTTGGTAGGTTTCTTATGGTCTTTAATTTTAAAAACTTTTCGACAGTAAAAAGAATGGTTTCACCCGAAAATATGGAAAAAACTACGTTTAAGTGACTTTGGCGCCCTCTAACATTGTCCCCGTAGGTTTTAGGAATTTGTTACTTCGAAATGGAAATGTAGAGAATTTAATTATCTTCATTTTTTGTTCCATAAAATTTTCTGTGGAACCTACGGTTTCAGCCAGAAAATCAAATCCAAAATTTCTTTGAGTTTCTCAAGAACGGTGGGGTGGGGATACGAATTTTAGAATTTAAGCTTTTCCATTGGACCACTTACGACTGGCAATGTATAAGAGCGGGGGTAATTTGATAGGAGTTAAAGATGCCAAATTGACTGTACTATAAGTAAAAACAAATATATTTATTGGACTTATTCACTTACCACATAGCAATAAGCTTTTCTGAAAACGTCTCCGTTCCTTGAGATGCTATAAATACAATAGCAATAAATCCAAACAGGCACAGACCTCCACCAAATCTGAAATATTTCTTATAGACCGAAAAGCTGACATCGCCCTTCTTCTTAACTTCGTGGTAGATTTTCTTGTTGCTAGCTTCTGCTTCAAGCAATTGTACGTTTTCACCATTACTTTCCACTTCCTCCTTTTTCTCAACTTTTACTTCCTTCGTTTCCTCAATTACTTCTTTTTCCATTTCATCATCCTTACCAATTATTTCTGTCAATTTGTCTAGAGGTAATTCGGTAGGTTTTTCGATGGATTTGATTTTTCCACTATCCATAACAATAACGTTATCAGCTTCCTGAATGTGATGTACAGTTTGTGTAACTAATACTACAATTTTTTCTTTTAGGAACTTCTTGATGCAATCGTTAAAAATATGATCTTGCACGTGAGTGTCTAGAGCCGTTAAAGAATCGTCTAAAAGATATATCTCGCTGTCTTTATAAATAGCTCTTGCGAGGTTGATTCTGGCTTGTTGTCCTTTGCTGAGATTGATACCATTGTCTGCCACAATCGTTTGATCACCCTTTTCGAACAGATTAAAATCGTAGGTTAGAGCACAGACTCTCACAACTTCCTGATACCTCTGTTCGTTGTATTTTTGCCCAAAAACAATATTTTGTTTTACCGATGATGGAAACAGCCATGGATCTTGAGAAGCATACGATATTCTACCCACGCTGCTAACATATCCACTTTCCAAAGGATAATCCTGAAGAAAAGCTTTCAACAGAGAGCTTTTTCCAGATCCAACTGCACCGGTGACTATATTTAATCCCGAATTAATTGTAATGCTCACATCTTGGAGGGCTATCCTTTTGTTAATGGTAACAGTGGCATGTTTAAGATTCAACTTAGGGTTTGATGTGGGGCTGTTGTAAACGTTACTCTTCTGTAGCTCCTCTGCATTCAAAACTCTGTTAATTCTGTTAATAGCGGCAAATAGTTCTGCTGCCCTTCCCATGCCCATAGGAACGACTACTCCCAGAATATACCTTAGCTGGGAGAATAAACTTATGACGTAATAGATAAGTTGGGCGTCTGGAGTGTATCCTAACCAGATATACGCCATGATGAGAAAGTAGAATCCGACTCTAGAAGCCAAAATACCAAAGCACACTATAACTATTTTTAAGTAGAAGGTTTTTTGCATAGAGTTAACTTCCTTCCTAAAATAAATTTTAGTTAATAAAATTAATCGTTCGTTTTATATTGATATTTTTTTATTATACAGGGTGTCCCAAAAATAAGTGCAAGTATTTTAAGAAGCGGTAAATCTCGATAAAAGAATCATATATTCTCTCCTTATCGTTTTTCAAATAAGTCCAAAATAACGGAGTTATTTTAGTTTGAAAATTTTCAAAAAAAAATTTTTTTTCTAAAATTTTGAGAACCACTGCATCTTTTCTGGATTTCTTTCTTGTAAATTTAATCTAATGCCTATGTTGTCATATTATCAAGAAATTATGTTTTTAACCAAAAACCAAAAAAAATCCAAAAAATTTTTTAAAAAAAAAATTTCGAATTTTGAAATTTTTTTTTCGCGAAAAAAATTACGAGTTAAAATACTTGCACTTATTTCTGGGACACCCTATATTTTAAGTTTTTTATTGTATGGAGACTTACTTTCTTCTGTCATTAAATTCTTTATGAAAGAATTTCTCCCAAGTGTACAGTTTGATTATTCTAATTGAAGATAGAATTTCTTGAGTAATTTGTAATCGTTCGTCAGTCCTCTTTCCTATTTCTAATCTTAGATTTGTTATGCATTTGCCAATATACACTAAAAAATTAAAAAAGGAATTTTACCAGATTTGAATTGTATGTAGTGCAAATATTTTGACCCAATATATATTTGTTTCTAAGAAATAAATTTCCATGAGATCACAAAGATCCATGAGCGCTAAGTTAGGCGGCCTCGACGGCCAACGGCTGGAATCTTGGTTAGCTATTCAATTATTCTCGAAATTGGCTGCAAAAATTTGCTGATAACTTCAGCGTTCTGAGGCGGTGCCTCGTTTGGCTGGAAAAATATGTGTTCGAGTTCCATTAGGGGCAGATCATCAATAAGGGGCTCAAAGCCTACTAACTAGATATTCTGTGCTACTAGTTAAAAGTGGCAAACTTATAAAAATTCTGTATTTCGAAGGGGACTATAACAAAATATCAAGTGTGCTATATTTTTGGAAAGGTAATTTTAAGTTCTTTTCATTTAATTAGAAATATACAGGGTGTCCCAAATAAAAAAATCAATTTTTCTGTTGATAACTCTTAAATTATTAACTTTTAAAAAATTATACTTAAACCATTAAATTCTACGTAAGCAAGTGCTTTGGAAATGTTTTCACAAAAATACAAAATTTTCCATAGAAAAAAGTTACAGCGATTTGTTAAAAATGCACATTTTTGAAAAACACCTCGTAACTCATAAACGGTAACAGATATCGATGTGCGGTTTCCACCATCATGTTTTTGATAAAAATTGAGCTCCAGATACCGATATTAGTTTCCGTCTATCTCCTATAGAAAAGGGTGTTTTTAAAACCTTCAAGTGAAATCCATTTATTTCTCATCTCGTTTTGAATAGTCTCAAGATCGTCAGAAAATTAATAATATTTTTAATTTTTGGTTCTTTGTTTAAAAGAAGTTTACAAAAGTTTACACGTATTTATTTAGTAAACTTTGATTTTGACGCTTGTTGAGGAAATATAATTACCAATGTTAAGTAATAATAATGTGTGTTAACAATGTTAGGAATCAAATTGCTGCTTTTATTTTCGAGATCGTTGGTCTTTAATATTATTTGTAGAAACCAAGCTTTTTCTTATTGTTGATGTTGATGTTGTTATTTAAGAATGTGATTTATTAAATCACACTTTATTCTCCTTAATAAATCTTTACTCTATAAAGATTAAAGTAATAACTACAGAGGTAAAAGTAAAAAGTAAAGAGCATGTCGAAAAGTTCCAAAAAAGTAAAGAGACGTTACATCTTGGAACTTAAGAGAATAAAAGAATACGTCTTGAAGTGTTAAGAGTGTCCAGTTAAAGAGAGGTTTTTAAACAGAAAAAGTTTAACATAATTAATTGGTATAGAAAATATGTATGGATATACCGGGTGCCTCTCAAAAGTGGGCTCACCCCCTATAACTTTTTTATTTTTTCAGATAAAAAAACGAGATTTGGTATGTTAGTATATGACAAATTAGGATTGATTGCGGAACGAGAAATACCGCCTACTCCAACTCATACTGCAGGGGAAAATAGAAGGCAGAAGATCAACGGGACGCAGACGAATATAGTGGCTGCAAAATCTACGAACATGGACCGGATTGACATCAACAGCTTTGTTCAGAACGGCAGTGAACAAAGTAATATGGATCAATGTGATAGCCAACATCCAAAGAGGATAAGCGCTCTAAGAAGAAGGATTAATTGGGGTTTTCAATTGTTTTCGGTCACTTCCTGTTTCACCGGAAATGACTACAGCTTTTGATTTTTAAATGGCACCCTCCGTATTTTTTTACTTTATTCGACAGAAAATGACATTCTGAATCGAATGACATATCATATGTCAACTTTTGACATATTCACTCAAAAACAAATCGTATTTAAATTTCAATCTAGAGTACCATGGCTGTGTTAAAACCACTAATTTTTAATCAAGGAGCCTTGGAAAAATAGATTTGATCGTCTAATGTTTTTAGTGTCTTGCCGGTTAAAAGATGCCCATATCGTATTTTTAAACATATCTCAATTTTTTCAAATGGAACGAGGGTGGCTCATTAGCATATTTGGAAAAAGCATTTTTTACGAATAATATTGGTACCACACACTTGGTATTTCGAGTCAAATTGTCGTTATGAACATGTATATTATAATTTCAAATAAACCATATGCGAAAATGTCAAAAGTTGACATATGATATGTCATTCTATTCAGAGTGTCATTTTCTATCGAATAAAGTAAAAAAATATCGATGGTGCCATTCAAAAATCAAAAGTTGTAGTCATTTCCGGTGAAACAGGAAGTGGCCGAAAATAATTGAATATGTAAATCAATTCTAATTTATGTCATATACTAACATACCAAATCTCGTTTTTTTATCTGAAAAAATAAAAAAAAGCTGTAGGGGTGAGCCAGTTTCGAGACGCATCCGGTAAGTCTTAAGTAATAATTTAACTAACTTATACTATATCCAATTATAATCTAAAATACTCGTAATCAGAATAAATAAAATAAACATGATATGAAAGATATAAGTTTGATGTTAAAAATAAAATTATTGTAGGAATTAATGATTACGTTAAAAGGTACAGTACGTCTGCTGGATCTGTGTCTATGAAAGGAATGCGGACAAAAAACATTTAAATAAACAGCAATATATTTTATACGTTGACTTGACGAGTACGTCACCGCAAATCGCTCCGCCCACTCATTTTATTGGCTACTTGCAAATTTGTCGTTTTTATATTGATGGGACGCGTCGTCTAATTTTTTACGAAAAACATCGAGAGAATATCGTTTCCCCTCTCACGGATACCCCGTAGCTACAGAACGGACAAACGTACTGTAGGGTTACAACATTAACAATAAGAAAAAGCTTTGATTCTACAAGTATTGGAGACAAACGGTCTCTAAAATCAAAGCGGCAGTTTGATTCCTAACATTGGGAACAGCCGTTAATTAACATTGGTAATTTGATTCCTCAACACGCTGGTGATAACAGCTGATAAATATAGGTATATCCCAATTTCATTGTCAACCAAACAAGCAGAGTCATTGTTGATGGCGCGATTTTACTCGTTAAAATTATGACTTACATTGAACTGGAATAACAACTATCAAGAACGATATCCCAATCAGAGACACCCAACCCAACTTCATAAAGAGCAAGTAGCACATATAAAAGGCCAACACCAATCCTATCCACATATCGTTGAACAGCCAAATGGAATCCTGGAATACTTGAACGTCCTTGGTTATTAGTGTTACAATGTTGCCCAAACTGATGTCGTTCATGGCCGATGGAGTCAGTTTCAATGCTTTTCGGTAAACCAAGGAGCAGAAAGACGTTCTTATTTTGATGGCGAGGCCTTGTACCCAAATGATGAAGTTGTGCATATAAATGAAGTTTACGAATGTGGTGAACACTGCCACTCCTGCGTAGAAGTAGAGGTCGTTTTGAGTACAGGAGTTATGAGTCTTATAACATGAAGTTAAACTACTCATGGCATATGGTTCCAGCGTTCTAGAAAAAATATTAAATATAGGATATACAGAAATATATAGGGTAATTCAAGCATATTTTCGAACCAAAGTTGCATATTTTTAAATAGAATACTATATGTATAACAGGGTGGCGCATCTCATTCGGCTCGGTTGATTATACGAAAACGGAAAGATGGAGAAACAAGATATTTTATGGGTATATGTGGGAAGGCAATGTGCATAATTTAAATTTATTTTGAAATGTACAGGATGTGTTAGAACTAAGATTCACACCAAAGTTATATTTTTTCTTATGGAACAACCGGTATTTCATTTCAATTGCTGACTTTCAAGTCAGATAAATAAACTTTACTAAAGAATTTGGTTGCTTCCTTAAATGTATACAGGGGTATCGAAAATTGCTGGTCTATTTTAAATATTATTTTACATAAGAACTTCGTTATTTCAAATACAACACTATGGATTTTTTTTTGGATAAGCCAAAGCAGATTTAAATGCTCTTTCAAACTATATTAGGGTTTCTTATACCTATCTGGCTTAGATTTTGAATAAAAAGGAATTTTTCAATAAAACTGTAATCAAGATGGCTGGTGTCGCCATGGCAATTTTCTAGTGACATTTGTAACTATTTTCAAAATCGACATTAGTTTACGGACTTTATTTAAATTTATAACAGGTTATTTTTATTTAATTTGCCTACAATAAGGTTAATAAGTATGTATTTATTATTTTATCAAGAAAAATGAAGCAGTATCTGCTGACGGAAGGAATGGATATGTTACTAGCGATTTTCTTTTGTGAGGACAATTGGTTGTTTACCTGAAGGGTTTATTGTAGGTAAATTAAATTAAAGTAAACTGTTATAAATTTAAATAAAGTCCATAAACTAATGTTGATTTTAAAAAGAGCTATTACTAGCAAATTGCCATGGCGACACCTTTATTGAAAAATCTGTTTTTATTCAAAATCTGAGATCTGAGCCAGATAAGTATAGGAAACCCTAATATAGTTTGAAAGAGCATTTAAATTTGCTTCGAATTATCCAAAAAATACATAGTGTTGTATTTGAAATAACGAAGTTTTTATGTAAAATAAATATTTAAAATAGACCAGCAATTTTTGATATCCCTGTGTACATTTAAGGACGCAATACATTTTTTAGTAAAGTTTATTTTTCTGGGTTCAAAGTCAGCACAATAATTAACTCTAAAAAGTAAAGTACAGGGTGTTGACAAACTTTTTTATTATAGCATGCATAATTAAATATCTTTAAATATCTCGAAAACCAAAGCATTTAAACATAATATTTGACCCTTATAATAAATGCCTTATTTTGTGCCCAAAGACCCAAATATGAAATAAAATACCGGGTGTTCCTTAAAAAAATATAACTTTGGTATGGATCTTAGCTCTGACATACCCTGTACATTTCAAAATAATTTTAAATTATGCACATTGCCTCTCTACACATACCCATAAAAAATTGTTTCTACATCTTTCCGTTTCAGTATAATCAACCGAGGCGAATGAGGCGCGCCACCCTGTATACTAGGTATATTTTAATTCAGTAGAGTTACCATAGGCAGCCTGTTTCGCAAACTTATACAGTATGTGTATTACATTGTTACAGTATTATATTATTTTGTCCCACTTTTAATTTGAAACCCGTGTACTAAGATTAAAACAACCCCTTAATATTTACTTTAACTACTTACATAACAAATACCCTAAAGAATAAATTAACCAAACCAATCACCAGATACTTTCGACCAAATCGTGACCAAACTAGTCGAAAGAATGACGGTTCTTCTTTCAGATTTTCGGCTTTCCATCGGCTCTCAATTTTGTTTCCGCAGTTGTCGGAGTTTAAGCTTTTCAGAACCTCGTAGAGATCATCTTCTTCCAGGTCATTTCTCAGAGCTTTCCTGAAGAGCTTTCCCGTATATCTGAAATTAAATTTATTTGACATTATTTAAATGAAATAACCCGGATATTGTGATATATATTTGTTATACTATTTTTTTAAGTTTAAATTTTTTAGAGGTACCTATTTAAGTTTTTAAAACCATATACTATACTGAAGTTTTTCTATTTACTAAATTTTGTGTTGCAATAATAAAAATAATACCATGTTATACAGAGGGTCTAAACATTTATTTTAAATAATTACAACCTTTAAACGGCAATAATTTGTTTAATATAAATGGAACAGCCTGTATATTTTACGAAAATAAGATGCACAATTTAATTGTCTAAATAAATAAATAAATACCTTTATTGTCAAAAAAAAATACAATTTGCAGACAAAGGTAAAGTAAACAAACAAAAGAGAATACAAAACAAGTATACAAATTACATTGTCAGACTTATTGTTTAAAATAAATATTTATAAATGTTTACAATGTCAAAGAATAAAAAAATAAAAATAAGATTCAAAAATATTTAGTAAGTTTATAGTAAATATAGTAATAGCAAATATTAGACCAGTGTATGTATCAAAATATAAGTCATTTATGGCGTAGAAAGCCTTGTCTAGTAAATAAGATTTCAATGCTTTGCGAAATGAAGAAAATGATGTTATGGATTTGATTTCAAATGGCAGGTGATTGTGCATTTTTTTCGAGTTGTATAATATTGAACTTTTAACTAACTCTAAGCGTGGGGTAGGTAGATAAAGATCTTGCTCCGCGTTCCTAAGTGGATAAGTGTGAGATGGCCTTTCTTGAGAAGCTGTACATGCTTACGTATTACGTATTAGGCAAACGGATTCAAATATAAGTAAGGAATGAAGAGTTAATATTTTTATTTATTTTAAAATGTCGTCCCGATTTAAAAAAAGTCATCATAAAAAAGTCAGATTCGAAAACATTTTTAAATGTTAATATAGTTTAAATAAAACATGATGGAAATGGTGTGATGGTATTAATTGTACTGCGAGGCTTTTCTAAAACTACGGGCGAAAAAAAGAAACTGTGTAACATTATCATTAGAGAGATATGAAAGTGGATCAGGAGTTCTCAGGTGAGGTAGAGATATTACTAGACGAAGAAGCTTTGTTTCTCAAATCACTCACAATAGATCATGTTTCTTTAGCAACATTACCAGAATTGGCGATCCTCCTATTATAATAAAGGTCCTTAGCGGCTCTTATAGTCTTATGATATTTTTTTTTGTATAGTTTTACGTAATTGTCAAAGAAGACACTGTCTGAGAATTTTTTTAAGTGAGATAATGACGCATGTTTTTAGAAGATAGCAGACCTTTAGTGGTCCAAGGTTTATTATGCTTATTTTTGACAGGCCTAAGAGGAAAAGACTTGAACGCTAGACTGGCTAATGTTTTTACGAAAATAGAAAAATCGGTGTCGACCATGTGTCGACATCATAAGAGCGAGTATCCCAGTTGGTTGTTTTATATAAGTGGCTGAATTTTTGAGCATTCTTTTCTCAAAAAATACGGCATAATTTACGAGGGGCATTTTTGATTTTGGAATTTATCGAAAATTTAGTTAAAACTGCTTCATGATCAGAGAGACCCGAGCTAAATACTGTCAAGGTCAAGGGCTAAAATGTATTACTGGTTGCCTGCACAACCGCAACGTGTCAAGAAAAATGGCGTATCCGCCAGAAATTAAAAGACTTTTTCAGGCGCCATCTTTTAGTCAAGTCGAGAAGTAAGGGAATCAGACTATAGGACTATAGGAGGCTCAATGACGTCACTAAGAAAGATAGCTACCCACTGCCACGTATAGATGACACATTAACAACTCTGGCAGGTTCGTGCTGGTTCTCCACTCTCGACTTAAAGAGTGGATACTGGCAAGTTGGTCTGGACGAGGACGATAAAGAAAAGACGGCTTTTTCTACAGGAAGCGGCCTATACCATTGTACTTAGTTACATAGGAAAAGTCCTTAGGAAAAGTCATAGGAAAAGATATTATCATAGTACCTCCATGAGATAAATTTGTTCTTTTAAATCTGGCTACTGTGGTATAATTTTTTAACAAACACAGGCTCATAAAAAAAACAACGCTATATTGTACAAAAAGCCAAAACAGCTTCATCGACAAAGCATTCACAACAAACCAAAAAAGCACAAAAACAAATGTACAAATAATAAAAAAAAATGTCATACAATACAAATCAATTCAAAAAAAATTACGTCATAAAATTAGAAAAGAAACATATATGGACTTTGCAGAAAACAGGCGTATCTAGAAAATTTTACAAAAGAAAAACTGTAAATGGATAAAATCATGTTATATATCATAAAATCAAGAGTTATAAAATATTAAATATTAGATACTAGACCTTTAACAAGTGTGCGAGATGATCAAAATTTTAAAATTCAAAATTGATCATGATTAAACATCAACAAAAAGTCGTTTACCGCGTATAGGGCTCTCTCGAATAAGTATGATTTCAGAGCTTTGCGAAATGCGGGAAAGAATGAAAGTGACTTGATATTCGAAGGCAAATGATTGTACATTTTCTTGGCATTGTACAGTATTGAGCCCTTAACTAATTCTGAGGACGGGGTTGGCAGATAAATATCGTGCTCCACATTCCTAAGTGGATAGTTGTGAGAAGGCCTTTCCGCAATAGAGAATATGTGCTTGCGGATTAAGCAAACGGATTCAAAAATGAATAAGGAAGAGTCAGTTTTTTGAAATTTTTAAAGAAATTCTGGCAGTGAGTTCTACTGTTTAGTCCCAATAAGTATCGAACTGCTCTCTTTTGAAGTTTGAAAATACGATCAAATTTTGTCGCGCAGCAACTACCCCAGAATGGAAGGGCAAAACGAAGATGCGACTCAAAAAGGGCATAAAAAATTTAACCAGTGTTCAGTTATGGCAATGATATTTGGAAATTCAAGTTCTTCTAGTAAAAGATGTAATTCACCTGTTTTATGTCTTACCATTTTTTACCTATTTCTTGAAGTTTTTGTAGAAAATGCATTTCCTTATAATTTACATACCCATGGAATATTGAGTTACTATATGAGACCCGTGTATATTTGGCAAGATAAAAGAAAAAGGTCTTAATGAATGTGAAGAAGAAATATCAGTGATATTATCAATAGACTTCAATAAACATGATAACATTATTTCTTATAAAAATAAATCAAGCAACATTGCAAACAAATATAATTATGAAATGAATAATCTATTGAAGATAATAGAGAGAACTATTTACATATTCATTACGCTGAAAAATGAAAATAGATACGTTAAAATGATATAAAAATATGGAGCATATTGTTTTTTAATTATTTGCTATTGTTATTATCGAACAGTAATTGATTATTCTCAGGATTATTATATGACATTTCAGCTGCAGTTCCGCATAGTACATAGTACGAGATATAGTCATCTTATCCGATATTCAAGCAGCTTTAAGAACGACAAACTCAGTAACCATCAATTTGAAGTTAGTCAAAGAATGCCTACAGAAGCTGAAAAAAATTGACAAAACAAATAGTCTTCGACTATGGATTTCAGCCCACCAAGGGCTGGAGAATATAGAATGTTTAGAAGGGGAGTTAATCACCGCGACCTTACAGATCTATTGTGTGTTTCCCTTTCTTGAGTTATAACGAGTTATAATTCATCATACAGTCTCAGGGCTTTAACAAAAGCCAATATCTGAGGCGGCTTCACAGAGGCCAGCTCTCCATCCTCGACATCAGCCGTACCAAAGTTCATGGCACGAACGGTTGTCGTTTCGGCGCACTCAGTAATAAGGTGTTCTGCTGTTTCCCCATTTTCCCCACAGAATCTGTATTCGCCGTTTTTTCTCAGCTTCAGCCTACTGAGATGTTCGTTGAGGAGACAGTGTCTCGTTAGAAACCCCGTGACAATCCGACGATTGTATTTACTTAAATCAAGCAAATCCTTTGATTTTTCTCGGTCGTAAGTTCTGAGGAACTTTTTCGAGTGTCTTAGATCGTTGGAGGACACTCATTCCAGGTTACGGATGGAGTCTTCCAGATTCTTCACTTCCGCTTTCAGTTGGTTCCCGCTTGGCAAACAGAACGGTTCTGGTACAGTTAGTGGAGTGTTCTCTCCTTTTCTACCTAGATTATTTGCTTTTTCATTGCCTTCTATCCCTTGGTGAGCAGGCACCCAGAGTAGGAGGACTTTATTTTCTTTGCCTAATTTGTTGAGCTTCTCTAAGCATTCTTTGACCAGCTTCGAATTGATGGTTACTAAACTGATCGCGTTTAGTGCTGCTTGAATATCGGATAAGATGGCTATTTCCTGTTTTCGATAGTTCGGTCGATAACGTAAATTTCTGCCTGAACGATGCTAGCGTAGGGTGTCCATTGGTTCGGAGAATTTAGTTTTCGGCTCAAATACTCCTATCCCTGTCCCTGTTTTGGTCTCTCACCAAGGGATAGAAGCTAACAATCTAGCTAGAAAATATATTATTTTTATTTACTCTTTCGAGGGCTGTAACTTCTTCAGGAAGCATTTTATGGCATATGTTTATAGGAACCTTTTATTTTATTTTTATCTGTAGAAGTTAGATACACTATTTTTGACTCCCTGTATAATCGTAACAATAAGTCCATATGATCAAAAAAAACGGCGTCCAGTTGGCTTAGAAATGAACATCATCTTAGAATGAGCATAGCCATCGCTGACGCCGTTTTTTTTGATCATATGTACTAATAAATATACAATAATATACATATTCTACTAGAAATCAAGAGAAGAATTAAGTTAGAATGGAGTACTTATGGAAGAAACTCAATCATGTTCAAATCTAGAATGCCACTCTGTCTAAAGAAGAAAACATTCGACCAATGTGTACTACCAGTCATGACCTATGCATACGAAACCTGGACACTTAAAACGGACATCATAAGGAAACTGCAGGTCGCACAACGCTCAATAAAACGAAATATGCTGGGAATAACCAGGAGATACCGTAAAAAAGTAGAG